CGATATACACCTTACATGTATGTAACAAAATAATCAATATAAAAGTCTAATATTAGGGCCAAATCACAAATAAATGTTTCTCTGTTGATATAAAAACATCACATAATCGCTCAATTATGTTCTATGCTCTCTGGGTATTTGCCCTTTAGTGTATTAACTATAAGTTAACACTAAATAAGCCACATATTCATATTACTCATGGGAGGAATTCCAGTCACTGTGTAATCCAGAGTAAAGAGTACTGTGTGGTAAAGGGGTCCAAGCCACTTATTAACTTTTACTTAAGTTTATACCTACAACAAATGTACCTATCATTGAAATGTAAACAGATCGTATTTTTATATTTTATACTAACCTGCATCTGAATATTCTATTAACAATTTTCTTAAATATTCAATATCCATTTCAAAAAGATTAAAGTTATTCTCAAAAAGTCGATTTTCAAACAAAAATATATAATATACTTATATTTATATTTCTGATAACCTATAACAAAGTCAATAGCCATATTTATTTCAATTTTCAATTAATTGACACTATTGACAGTTAGTTTTTGCCCAAGATCACAGAAATTTACTACTGTTGTCTGGGACCAATAAAAAGTTGACTCCTAGACATATTTATTCGTGTCTTGATCTCTCATTGGCCGTTCGCTGACTACGACCAGTCGGACCAATAATGACAACTATTTTAGAGATTTTGAACGCGACTATTTCGGAACACGCTCTTTAGTAACTAATTTAGTTACTTTTAGTGGTGTGAGTAAGGCTTTTCGAATTACTCCTCCTGGTTTTTAAATAGACTATAGTCGATATACATAAAAGAAAAGTAAACAGCAAGTTTTTTTATTTGTCATTTATACACACTTATGTCTTTGAGGTGGATGGCCGGAATCTCTCGGCGTTCTGCAAAATGGCTTCAATGTTAGCAGGTTGTGAGGCAGCCGTAATTCTTAAAATGTTGTCAACATTCTCATTGGTAAGCCTGGATATGTACTTGTTTTTTATGAACTTTAACTTGCTGAATGTAGATTCACACACATATCGATACCTTTTTGCCAGACTATCATAAGTGCCATTTGAACAAATGTCGATGCAAAAATACACAAAAGATTTTGTGCAGTTAACTAAGTTAGGAAATTTTTCCCTTTCCAACATTTTCCAAAACTAAAAATAACTTTTATCCTTCTTTTTATCCTCAAACATGGTTTTCAGCTCTGTATCTTAGTTACTGAAAGAGTCGATGTAAGTTCACATGCACAGGGTACCAACTTTTATGCCGTTAAAGGATCACTTTATAAAGAGGTTTGCTCCAAAAATTTGGCTACTCTTAATATTTTTTATATTATAGTAAGGAGTATTCATAATAAATTTAATATAATGCAATTGTTGGTACAAAATCTTAAGGTAGATATTCTTATTCTTGTAGAGGTTTGGCTTAAACACGATGAACTGGAGTTTGCCGTGTTTCCTGGTTTTAAGGTTATATTAAGTTATGTAAGGAATTCTCGCGAACATGGTGGAGTCTGTATCTTTAATAAAAAATAACATACCCTGCAGCACTATAGATGTCAATGATCTTTGTAGTGATTTAAATGCTGAATTTGCCTCGACTCCAAAACAGTCGTTGGTGATTTTAATTTCAAAGAAAACACCAGAGCTGTTAATGATTGTAGAAACATTTTTTTATCGTTTGAATTACATGAACAAGTGTTTGTAGATACTAGGGTAACAGATAAAAGTAGAACAAGAGTTGACAATTTATTTATAAACTTAGAAAAAGAAACTTTTATTATAGATGTCATTGAGCCTTTTATTTCGGATCATTTAAACTAATTAGCGATAGAAAAAATGTAAACGATGCGTCTTTAAGTAGGCCAATGACTGAGAGGGCCATAAATAATTTTAGAACTGAATTAAAAAAGTTAAGTTGGGATTTAAATAAATTTAATGAGAACGACCAAGCTAATATTATTATTGACGTTTTATCTAAACTGTACCTACAATGTTTTCCTAAAAAGAAGGTAATCAAAAGTAAAAATAATTTAGCAAACACTCAAAATGTAAGTTACATTAAGTCAAAGTTAGATGCTACTCAAGTAATATTCAATTCTACGAAGTCACCAGAAAGCTTCGAATTAATTATCGTTTTTAAAAAAAGAATACCGTAATATTGTTAATAAGGAAACGGTACTTTTGAACAAAAAAAAATATTTGAGTCTGATAATAAACAAAAAACAGCTTGGCAAATAACACCAGCTTGGACAGAAACAAATATTCTAAAAACCAATGTGTCTGTCGATGATTTTGCAGATGTGTAATTCACGATTTAGTTGAAAATTGCATGCTGTCTACTAATGTTAACAGCTTTAATAAAAAAATTCCTTTTAATAATTTATCAATATTTTTGAACCCCACAGATACAACAGAAGTCCATCAAAGAGGAAAAGTGAGGAACAGGTTAAACTTTTAGGAATATATTTAGACCCGAAACTAGATTTTAAATATCACATTCAAAGTTTACAAAGCTACTTATGCAATTAGACAGTTAAAATTTCAATTAGACATTGTACATTTAAAAATGGTCTACTTTTCACTATTTCATAGCATTATGACGTATGGGGTTATACTTTGGGGAAATACAAGCAACCAACTTAGAGTATTTATTAAACAAAAAAGTAGTACGTATCATGACATCGAGTATCTACAATAGTCACTGCCAACCTATTTTTAAACAGTTGGGTATTTTACCACAACCATGTTGTTTTATTTCAGTGTCTTTTATACATGAAAAAACAAATTGGTAATAATAATGTTATAAGACAGAGCTCTAAACAATCTTATTGCACCAGAGGAAATTATGATATATCTTTACCTAATTACAGATTAACCAAACTTCATGATTCTTATAAATATATCAGCATTAAACTGTACAATTCCCTACCTCAAGCTTATAAAAACTCATCTTTTAATTTATTTAGAATAAGAATTCGCAAATTTTTGTCGAGTCACTGCTTTTATTCCATAGACGAATTCTTATCACATGTGTCCATCTGTGCATGTGAGTAACGTGTAAACCTTTTTGGTGAATATACCTTTTTAGTTTTTATCTTTTAAGTATGTTTTAATATGTTATGTGTATCTATTGTAATGAAGAGGATGTTATAATTATGTTTGAGTAGCTATATTGTAATGAATGACGTGTTTTTTTTTATTTTAATTTTAATTTAATTATTCTAATTTATTTTAATCATATACAATTTTTTTTATTAAGGCTCCTCGTCTGGCACCATACTGTAATGAGCTTCACGTTTAGCAGCCATAAATTCTAGTGAAATGAATATTTTAATAAAGAGTAACATTACCCAAGTATTATTTTATTTAAAAGTAATTTAGATTACAAATCATCCTCATCCATCCAAATACTTAATGCTCCGGCTGAAATACTATCTGATGCAATGCGCGATTGTGTTAAAACGATATAACTTAATTCTTTTAGATAATGGGTTTAAAAGTTTTCATCTATGTATTTAAGACACTTACCTCTGCACCTCGTATATCGATAACTCTTGAATTATTGAAATAAAAGTAAGTAAAAATTTGAGACTGTATATAACTTGTAGTTTTATTTAAAAAATGTTAATATCAGGGTTTAGTGCGAGTTCAAAGATTCTTTATGGCTAATATGGGATAAAGAAACAGAAAATTGTTACATAAATGTAAAAATAAACTTAAGAACGAAAAACAATATAATACGTCATTTAAAGATCGATTCTTGGATCGAAAATGACGCATTATGCGACAAAAATACAGTTAGCTACCGTGGCTTAATGTTCTACTCACTGCACGGCGCTTCTTAATGTAAGTAGCAATCTTTTGACCGGCTATATGATAATTTTTCAAATCGGACAAAAGATGGCTTATAACGCAATCATCTTAAAATCTATCTAGAAAGTTATGACATTATTTTCGATGTAAATAGAAAGATTTTTCGTCTTTTCGATTACTTAAATACTCAATTATGGTAAGTAAGTTTTTAAATTAGTCACTAATGATAGTTTTTAATTAAAATACCTGTGTTTCACTGTGAAATATGAGATGTCCAAGTGTTAAACGTATTTCTTTTCAGTGTCCATAAACAGACATTACAAATACCTGTGAAGGCCTTTCCTGTAATATGCCTGTGCATACAACGGTGAGGATGTCTTCCTGGGGGACTCGTCTTCGGGCAGTTTTACATGATTTTCCATGGGTAAGTTAAATTTAACCTTTGACATTTATACACTAGTTAAGTACTTATAAATAAACATTGAAGATTTAATTTTCCTGTCTCTTTTATTTTTTTTTAGGAAAAAAGGAACTTTTGGAAAGGAATTAGAAGGAAAAATTTTACATGTCCTTCCTCCTTCGTTACTTGCTACCCACTCTTTTGTTTTATCAACAAATTCTGATTTGAATTTTTCATCAAGTTGGATAAAAAAAGGAATTAGCCAATCAAAATTTTGACAGTTTAGTTACATTATTGAAATTTGATTATTGGATTTATAAAGGTGAGTTTATTTAAACGGCTTATTTCATAATTTCGATGATAATTTATTGTTCATTAATTAATAGGTTATTTTGAAATCCATGTTCTAATTTTTTTATAAATTTACATTTTAAAAATCATAATTTTCGTGTGGTAACACTGTCTCACTACATTTAGTTACTTTTGATCTTGTCAAATTTACCACTATACAGGGTGTAGTCTAAATACTTAGATGAAACTTTTTAATTTTATTTCTTTGAAGACTTTTAATCATTAACTTGATATTCTTGTGATTTCGTGTTTCATTATACTATATATTTTTTTTTATACTTTTAACATTGACACATGTAAAATAGTTATTTTTATTTTACATCAATTAATATCTATCTATCTAATCAAGTCTCACTCAATGTTACATTTGGGACGTTAAAAGATTGACACCATCAACTAAAAAATAAGATAAACAGACATACCTGGATAAGCGTTTACATCTATGATGGCATATTTTCCAGTAGATTTATCGATGACTACATCAGCACCTAGCAAGTCCATCCCAAATGCCTTCCTCAAAGTATTTGCAATGACATCTAAAATCTTATCATCAGGTTTTGGTTTCTCCATCATAACGTCTTCGGGATCCAACACACAAAGCCTGCTCTTTGAATCAGACTTGGAGACATCACTCGTATCAAAGTATATAGTGTCTCTATTATCACAAGCCTGGAAATTCTTCAAGGAAGGCCGTTCCACGTAAAAATGTTTGTCCCCGGCTATGAATATTTTAAACAATACGGCATTGTGTTGTATAAAACTTTGTGCTACACATGGCGTTTTAATATCTCCTAAAGATTTCTCGTTGAAAATCAGCGACATTTCGTGCGCTTTGCTCCCATGGCCCAAAATCGGCTTACAGATAAAGGGATATGTGACGTTGGCTATTTTTAATTGTTGCTTTAAGGAGTCTCTGTCGCCGCTTCTGAGGGTACAAAAATTTGGTGTAAATACGTCGTAAGTAGATAAATTAGTGGAATGGATAATACTGTAACAGCTACACCTATCTATTAGTTTTCTTACATTTGCTAGCGGGTCTATCACAATAAGAGATGGGTGTTGGGATATATATCGCTCGACTTTTTCTATCACATTCCCACACTAAAACAAAAACAAAATTTAAATAAAAAATTATAATTTCTTTTTTTAGAAACATTCTTTTTTTTTTTAGAAATCAAACTTATTTAGTAGTAAAAACGAGTGACAAGTCAGTCACTTAAGGGAAATTAGTAATGTCCTTTTATTGTTAAGAACAGCAAACGTCATAGTCGATGAAGCTGCTCTTTTAGTTAGTGACAAAATTTATTCTAAATTACGGTTAAAATTTAATACATTATAAACTATAATGAATAATAGTATATTATTAAACGAGCAATTTATGGTAGCCATTATTCACGCAAGTCGCCCGAGTGAAAAATGGCCATAAATTGCGAGTGTATTAATATACTTTGTCCACGAACATTATGATTTCTTTATTAAATAAAAGTTAAGAGTTGAACGGAAAGTTTTCATTAAACATAGGTAACTAACTGTTGTTGTTTAACAAAGGAATGCTTCAAATTCAAAATTAATAAATTTTAGGACAGGAGTACGACAAAGTCAAATAATCCGTGACACCTATAGAGATGGGCGATACTCTGTAAAGTATTGATTCACCGTATCGATATAATATTTAAAATCAATATTAATTGCACTTCAGATTATGTGATTTATCATATGATTTTATTACATGAAAATGATATGATTTTAATTCTATATATGACTAAAATATTTAAGAAAAAATCATATGATAACTCATGTGACAAATCACAAAATCTGAAGTGCACTCTAGAAAATATCGTTATGAAAAGTATCGCCCATCTTTAAGTCACCTACCGGAATGAATGAATGAATGAATTACAAAAGCGTGAATTATCATAATTCACTCTAGTGATATATGGGTACCATATGATCTTAGTTAGGAGGTAGAATATTGATTTATTATTAAGTGGTCGTGGACAAAATTATTTCTTCCTTCTTCGAGTTCTTTATCCACTCTCGCCTTGAACTGGTATATGTTCTGGGCTGAGACTGTATGTTCCTGAAGACCATTCCACAATTATACAGTTCTGTTTGTAATAAAATCGTTTCTTTGCAGTTTATTACACTTTTACAGTTTGAGAACTATATCTTCGGAATGGTCTTTGAAAGCTCTTTTCATAAGGTAAATGAAACTGTTGACCTTCTTCATTATATTAGCAATGTGGGTTTCCCATAAGTCTTTTGATATTGTTTCAAAACCGTTTGAAACATATCAAATACGGTCCTGTGCTCGCGAACCCAGGTGTTCATTATTAGTGGCTGTAAACAAATAGGTGTGACAATAATCGTGTTCGCAAAGCGATTTCGGCGCGAAACACTCAAGGCTAACTAGCTTAGGTCACGTATCATATATGTATCTCTCTCTTTCAAAACGACACAAAACGGCAGACAAATCTGTGCTTCCATGGAAGACAGATGCGCTCTCATTATCATCATGACAAATATTTTCTGTTATACAAATCACTTAAATTCTCTATCTTTGTACAAATTTAAAAGTTGTCGTGCATTTTTTAAGAGAAATGGGTGAGAATTCATCTATTCCAGGACTTGAATCTTGTTTAAGACTATCTATTGCAAATTTCACTTTTTTTTGTGTAAATTCTATATTACGCTATTCTTAACTCTTTCTGTTGCAGTTATTTGCGGCGATTCTGTTGTATAAACTGTACTGTTCTGCAAATCTTTCTGCTATCTCGGCTGGTTCTGTGATTGCTAAATTTGTAGTATGGTATCTAAGTGTGATTTGAGTGATGTTTGTGTTCAGTATTCTTTTCACATAGGAGTAAAATTTCTTTTCGCCACAATTTAAGAGGTTATTTTCATAATCCTTTCTAGATACAGCCAATACATTTTTAAGTTTATTGTTCTGATTTCTATATGTAGCATAATCTTCATCAGCTCTTGTTGACCTGTACCTATGCCATAGGTTCTGGTTTTTATTAATTTCTCTGAAGTAGGTTCAATTGAACCAGGGTTTCTCAGGGTTTTTACTTATTACTTCTGGTGGAATATTAGCATTTATTATTTTGTGCAGTATGTTTGTTAAAGTTTCGTAAGAACTATTAGCAGCAAATGTTGAGCTATCTCGCTATTAAATAATTTGAAAATTCGGAAAAATTCTCAAAAGAATTCCTTTTTTAAATTATTAAGACCATCCCCGAACCCCAAAGGTGAAAACAAATACTTGGAGATTTGAAAAAAAGCATGTGGTCGCTGTGATTCCAACCCAGACATCTTTGTTCTGTACACAAATGCACTACATATATTGACTGTCGAGATTCCTAGACGGCAGTTTGATGTGCTAATTCGGGCCAAGCTATGATATATTAAATTCACAATTTCCATACTCATGTTTACGTCGCTTAACGTACATTGAAAACTTAACTCACGCAGGCGAAGATATGAGCTTAGTATGCATCAATGCATTTCTTATATACACCGATGCTGTATAACCTGAAACAGCGCTTGGATCGAATTAGAACATCAAACTGTGGTCTAGGAATTTCGACAGTCAATAGTTGTTTTCTTTTTACCACTAATCTGAGCTAACTTACATCGACTAAGCTTAGTTGTAAGTTCTTTTTGTGATTGTAAGTCAGAATATTTCTTCCCCTCTTACCGATGCTAAGGTACAAGGATCTTGACGTCAACCATAAACCATAACAGAAAGTGAGTGTTCTTTGCATCATACAAACATATCCTATGAATTCATTATTTTAGAGAGATTAAAAGACTATGATAACATTGTAGTGTTGAATGATGAAGAAATTATAAAATTTGATAAAAATGTCGATGGTTTTTAAACGAATGCATGTGACACGTCACCTGTCAACCAAAATTTGCGTTCTGTTTACAAGTTGTAACGGTTGGAACCGTTATTCGTTATTTCAACACAATCATCTCGACTCAAATGACATTTGTCGTTTATGCCTTGTGTCAAAAGTTAGTATTTCATATTTGAATTTGTCAACGAATCATTGATTTTAATTTTTAATATATCTTGGTCATCCGATGTACTAAATAATTTTTATCTATCGTAAATTCCGTCGGATTTTATAAGGTAAGTTTTAATACTGATATATTGTTGAAAATATATATTTTGTATAAGAATTTCTTAAATAAAATGTCAAATTTTGAACATAACCTCAACAATGGATAACTTTTTATATAAAATTATATATTATTTTGTTTGGAATAAGATATTATGCTTTACTATGTTTAAATATGTTAAATAAGATTTTCCTTTTCATATTAATTTTAGTCTCTGTGAAATTATTCATTTAATAGTTTTAAATTGTTCATTTAATAGTAAAAGCATTTTATCTAAATCCTGTTCAAATTTCCTATTTCCTGTCATAACATTTTCCTTTCTTTTTAGCATGGCTATATCTAGACGGTTTATTTGGATCTATATCTAGACGGTTTATGTGGATTGATATCTGGAAGTTTTGAATTCCTTTCAAGACAGTTTATTTCGATTTATATCTAGACAGTTTATTTGTATTTATATCTAAACGTTTTGAATTCCTATCAAGAAGTTTAATTGTTTTTATACCTAGAAGTTTGGTACAATCTGAAGACCGTGGTTTGGTTCATTTATAGAAGATCTACACGTTCGAGTTTAAGTTAGAATACCAAATTTCACAATATCATTTAAGTTCCAGAATTAAGAATAAGGATAGCGAATCCCTTTGAAGTTGCCTGAAGAATACCATGCAAATAAACATTCCTTATATTACCTCGTTCTAAGAACAGATAAGTGCTTTTAAATAAATCATCTTAAATTTAAATTTAGTAAAACTATGTGAATTAGAATTTGCTACAACCTTATCTAAAACTTGGTTTAAATATAATTTGTTAATGGTTAGTGATTTTCTATATTTTTATCACTAATTTAAAGTCAAGTATCAGTAAGTTTTAAATATAGTGGTGCCCAACTTCTTTTTCAAAGTTATTCGAATTATTTAATAACCACGCCTAATCAATTGAGCTTAAACACATTATAATAAATAGATAAAATATCAAGTATCACGTTACAAAGTTAAGCTTAGTTCAGAATCTAACTTTTAGTTAGTCAAGTATACCTAAAAAAAGAAAACTACTATTGTCGTAATCCACTTTGACACTTCATGTGTTTAATAATAAAAAATACCGATAAAATTGTCATCTGACCCTTTTTCCATTAGAATTTTTTTTTTTTCAGAATAAGATTGGTATATTCTAAAAAATAAAAAAATGCAAACATGAGTAAACGAATGAGTATTAATTGCCAAAAGGACCTAAGTCACTATCTTCGTTAATATTGGCTCAATATCAATGAAACAAATGGCTTTCAATGTAAAATGTCATTTAGATGCTATTTGAACTAAAAAAGTATACGTAGTATTAACGCCAAAATGATCTAAGTGTATATCTCTTTTAATATTTGTTCGATTTGAATGAAACAAACGGCACTGAAAGGTTAGCTTACAAGACAGAAGATATAAGATTGCCAAAAGGACCTAGGTCTATATCTTCCTACAAAACAAACGTCGTTCGATGTAAAATGTTAAGTAATCGTTGACGTTGAAAAACTAGTCACAGTTATTTGCTTATATCTTTTGAACAAATTAAGATACCGATCTGGAGTAAAAAGAATAGTATCAAACATCACTAAGTTCATCTAGTGATGTGGTTACTTTTTCTGTAACTAAGGTCCTATTGTTACTTAAAGAATAAATAATTATTGGTTCGAATAGAATGGAACAAACGGCATTCAATGTAAGATGGCATGTGCAGTAAAAAAAACATACGTAGTAATAATGCCAGAAGGACCTAAGTCTAAATCTCCGATATTTGTTCGATATGAATGAAACAAAACGGCATTCAACGTAAGATATTATTTACATGAAAAACCACGCGCAGTATTAATGCTGAAAAGACCTAAGACTATATATTTGTTAATATTGGTTCGATTTAAATTAAATGATATGAACAACATTCATTGTAAATATTTACAACGAAAATACACGAATAGTATT